ATCATTTATCAAATATTCAAATAAGGGTATATTCATTTTGCTCTTGTACTTATGACTCATGATCGGTCTCTCCATATAACTCACAATTAGGGAGCTTCTTATGACTTCCAATCAGTAAATCACATGAATCGGTATCCCTGACTATTTATGATTCACAATCTATCTCCAACTCCTTATGACTCCCATCAGTGAATAAGTGGATCTTGAGGGTACACAAGGGTTATCATATCATATATGTATATGATGTGGGTCTCCGAAAGGATTCCGCTCGTGTGGTTCGAATGCAAAGGGTACGATCACACTGTCCCGTAGGACAAAATGGTCGTAGACCTTTACACTCGGCACAAGCAGGCCGATGGAAGAGCAGATGGTCAACATATGATATAAATCAGTACATCAATTTTATCAGATCAATATCAGTTCAATACATATTAATCACATTAACTATTTTAGTCCATAATATATTTTTGTATTATCATATCAAATCGTAGTACATTATTTTCAACCCATTTTTAATATATATTTTTCCTGCTCATTTCATGTAGAAATTCCAATAAATATATTTAATCAGTGAAAATGCAATAGCATCATACCAAATTATTTAAAATGATGAAATCTATAATATATCAAAAGATGCACTATAAAATCTTGTGAAATCATGAGATAATATATTTTTGAATGATTTAAGAGAGATAAAAATTTATAGAAATCAAAATCATAAAAAATAGGAGTAAATATATGGTTACTTATATCAAATAGAACAAAGTTTATAATAGGAGCGTCGAACAAAAAAGCCCAAGAGAGCTTCCTATCTCTTCTTCTCCCTCCTCTCCCTCTTGCTGTCCCCTACATCCACCACCACCTTCAATAACTATATAGGAGAATTTAAGGATTATAAATAACTCGTATTTTTTATGATTCTTTAGAGTTTAGAGCTCTCTTAGTTCATACATTTTGTAATTCTCACACAAATGTCTTGTTTAGGGATTTTAGGTTCCCTTTTTCATTTTATAACCACCAAGATAGTAAAAACCAAATCCTAAGGATACCTTACCCTTTCTTGACAATTTCTTTTGGATTAGTTTTTTTTTTTGAAGAACTGCTCAATGCATTAATAAATTTGGATTAGTTAATTAACATCATTTTTTACTTTATAATAGTTAGACAGATTAATAATATAATACCCACTATAGAAGGTCTCGAGATAGTTTCATCCACTTTGATTGGGTTTAAGGAGGACTAGGTGTTTGCTATTTATAGAGGAGGATAGCAGAGGTTTCCCACTCTTTAGCATTATAAAATTCAAAATGTCCCAATTCCAACTAAACTAATAGGTTAGTGGGTCGCTATTAAGGGTTTTGTGGATTGTCATTATAGGCGTGTGGAGCCTACTAAGGTGGGATTTTAAGTTAAAATTTACGATGACACGTTAAGCTTAACAACAATTAACTAATTTAATGGATTAAATTTTTATTTTGGATGTTTTAATGACATGTAATTAGGACTTTAATTGACTTATTAATAAGTAATGGTCACTTGTTTACCTTCTTTATAAGCTATGAATTATTTATTTAATTGATATTTCATATAACTTTTTGACTATCTTAGAATTTTTGGGGTACCTATTCTTGTATTTTCCATGTAGTTATCATGCATTTGCTTGAAAGTTTAAACAGCAAAGACCATAGTTCATGTAAGCAATGACTAAAGATGCGAATTTGAATAAATATTTTTATCAAGTAACTTAAATCGAATAACATAATTTATTTCCTCAGAAGTCTTATAAGTTATATTTATATTCATTTAATGAAACTAATTACAAACTCATATGAGAAAGTTTTCCTTTTTCTTAAATTTGAAAATTCACAACATGCGGATGATAAAAGAAATATAAGAACAAATAATCCAAATTGCATTTCAAGAAAAAATGAATATGATTGATGAAATAATCCAAATATAAGAACCCCTATGGCCAAATTGCAATTCTCATCATATGCAGATCTATTGTAATTCATAAAATTATGAAGGAAGAATAAAACAACTCCTTGTGAACTTTATATAACTTTTTTGAGAAAATGATCAAAATGGTCCCTTGACTTTTTATAAAGAATCAAAATGATCCCAAACTATAGTAAATGACCATTTTGATCCCTAAGTCTTTGAAAAGGAATTAAAATAGGCTCAACGTGAGACTATTTTGATTTCTCTTTAAAGAGCTGAGGGACTAAAATAGTCCTTTAATATAATTGATGAAAATTTTGATTTTTATAAAGAGTCAAAAGATCATTTTGAATCTTTTATGTTATTTTATTTATAGGTTATAACATATTGGAATCTCTTATGAAGATATATTTTTTTGTCTATCCTTTTATCATATAGTTGTCTGTAATTTGTATTTCATATATCATACCCCACATCTTAGGATAAAGATTTGTAGTTATTGTTGTAGTTGCGATAACATGTTTTCATAGCCCAAAAATCTTTTCATGTGCTACAACAAAGAATACTTAAATTAGTTTCATTAGTGATAAGGCATCAAATAATTGAGCAAAAATCTCGTGGCAATTTTGAATTGGAAACTTTCAAAATTAAATTCTGGACAATCTGAACTCCGATTTTAATAAACTTATATTCGAACTGAATGTCTCAACCAGACGAACCCGACGACATCAAATTCAACCCAATATGAGCCCAAATGGGTCCAAATCGAGGACTAGAAGCTCTTTTAGAAAGTTCAGATCATAAATTAGATGACCAAATGATCTCCATTTGTGGCATACTTATAGCCAAATCAAGCGACTCGACAAGTCAAATCCAATGAGCCCAAGATTGCTGAATTCTGACATCATTAAGACACTTAAATACTCAATAAATGATACACGATCAAGGGAATCAATATCAGTTGTCCATTCGAACCACTCCCGAAGTGCCATTGTTCTTCTCCTTGTTTACTTGACATTTCACTGCTAGAAAACTATAAATAGACCCCACATTCAACACTAAAGGGGGAGGGAGCAACGAAGAGAGAAAAGGAAGAGAAACTAGAGAATTTTCTTACCAGAAGATTCCTCCTCGATCACCGTCCAACCATCAACCATTGCCATGCTTTTGCTAGACTTCCACTCGATCACAAATTATCACCAGACTCCCGCTTGACCATCAATCGTTGCCAGACTATGATCCGCTCTAACCACCGTCACTTGTTGAATACGATCCACTCTGAAAAATGCCACTTATAGACTACAGACCTTTCGACCACGGCCGCTCGACTACGGTACTTCCAACTATTGTCTCTAATTGATTACTGTCTTTCCGACCACAGTTGCCCGGCTACGGCCTTTCCGACCTTTATTGCTTGCCGACTATGTTCTCTTTGACCAACATCTCCAGACTAAGGTCTCCGCGACTACCATCACTCAACTATGGTCCTTCCGACCATAATCATCGACCGTGGTCCTTCCAACCTTCGTAGCTCACCAACTACGATTCTTTCAATCACTGTTGTCCATCGACTACGGTCCTTATAACCTTCGTCGCCTGCCGGCTACTATTTTTTCGACCACCGTTGCTCGACTATGATCTTTACTATCTCTGTCGGACCCAGACTACGATCCTTCCTGACCTACAACATTGGTGACATAGCAAATATGTCAACACTGATTCTTCACGATCCAGTATGAACCTAACAAATTTAATAAATAGGTGTCAGAGTTCTAGACCCGAACTCGGCCAATTTATTAAATTGGGCAACTCAAACACAACTTTTTTTTGGGTTGGGTTTATGTTGGATTGACGAGTTAGACCATTTCACCTTTAAGGTGAAGATAATTTTGACAATGGAGTTTGTTGTGAAGGCATCACATGATTGGTTTCATGAAGATTATCGGGCCCACGAAGATTAGAATGATAGAGTTAGAACCTTATTTTGAATAATATTCAAATCATATTTGATCCACATTTAAACTAGGTTCGATCTATTTGAATCATGTTGAAATTAGGTTCAAGTTACGATTCAAACTAATAGTCAATTTTGAATCAATTTTAACTAATATCGTTAATGATCAGTTCAAAAAAAATGGTTCATGAATATAAGAGGAATAACGTCATTGAGAAATTATTATTTGCGGAGGACATACCGGAAGAACCGTCTACACTGTAAGTATGTACATTATGTACAAGCAGTGTGTACATAAAATTGTTTTACACTGTGCACAAATTTATACATAATATATACACACACATATTCAATTGTTTCTTCCCATCCAGACTACCCACATAATAATTTCTCTAGGAAAGGAGCCGCTCTCTAGCTAGAGATATTATTCTGTGAGGACTCTGGATGTAGGAAATCATTTTGATTATTGAGTATTTGTTGCTTATTTACTATGTATTTTAAAATACACAATATATACTTACAACAAATCAGAAAAATATAATAAATACTCAATGTATACTTAAAAAACTCATCAAATACTCCCAAATAAAAATTTGCTGAATATTTAATACTCATCTTCAAATATACAGTAAGTAAATAATAAATTCTTTATGTCCCAAATCCGCCCAAATAATTTCTCCTCTAGCTGATCCAGGCAAAAAATAAACGACGATCTCGTATTTTTCTCCCTCCCTGCAATAAACGTCCTACGCGGTTAAATCATCTACCGTCACTGCACCACCGACAGTATAACCAACGGTAGGATCTTCTCCCGCACAGAGTTTTCTATCAGACGCTCACTACCCATTCTACGGCACCAGCATTAACGCTAGGACAAATCCAGCTCCACCTTCTCGCCGACAGTCAGATACGCTATCTAATTACAACCAAGCAAAAACAATTTTCTAGCTGAATCTGACCGTTGAAATTCTATTTACCATAAAATCGACGGCAGCTGATAAACCTAATGACGCATTGCTGTTCGATCACAAACAGCAAAGTCCTGCCATAACCAAATCCTTATTCAATTCAATTCCTCCGAGCGAAATATATCTAATTTTGCTCTTTCTATCATTCTCCCCCTCATTTTACGGATCTTCGGCGAGATTCAAGTCAATGGCGAGTGCAATGTCAGGCCAGTCGCCGGCGTCGGCGGCGGCATTAGCAGCAGCCGCAGTGTTGGTCTTGACGGTGGCGCTGATTTTGGCCGGTGGGGTGGAGGCGAAATCGAAGCAGAAGACATGCGACAAAGGGTGGGAGTGCAAGGGCTCGATATACTGTTGTAACGAGACGATCTCCGATTTCTTCCAGGTGTACCAGTTCGAGAATCTCTTCTCTAAGCGCAATAGCCCCATAGCACACGCCGTTGGATTTTGGGACTACCACTCCTTCATCGTCGCCTCTTCCGAGTACCAGCCCCTCGGCTTCGGCACCACTGGGGGCAAGGAGATGGGAATGAAGGAGGTGGCAGCATTCCTCGGCCACGTTGGCAGCAAGACTTCTTGTATGATCCCTCTGCCAATTTCTCTCGATTTGTTATATTGTAGTTGAAAGTTATGATCTTTGTGTGGTAATTAAATAGACGTTTTCAATGAGTGGAGAATTAGGCTGGTGGGTTGTTGGAGCTTCTGGAAGTTATCAGACTAGGTAATGACATTAGACTAGATTATTGAGGAGTCTGATAATTACTTTCATTTTGGAAACCCCATTACTTTATGACTTTATGTATATGATTTTAATCGCTCGCAAATCCTGTAGATCTATTGAATGATAAAGGAATTAGTCTTTTTTTTTTTGGCCCAACTATCACATATGTAATTGTCCCAGGGGCGCCCATGTTGAGTACGAAAAATTCTTATATGCATCTCGCATTCCAATCTTCTGTTGATGATATCTTGAAATTTGTTCAATTTTAGTAAAGATAGAATCTCGTTGTCTCTGATAAAAAAATAATCTATTTGAGTGAACATAAACTTGTTAGTCACAATTACCTTATTGAGTTATGTTTTGTCTATACATGATCTCATTCTTTCATTTCTTTCTGCTCAAAAGATATGTGAGCACCCCAAGGTGATAAATTATGCCAAATAAAAAACATCGGTCAAGTAACTCTTGTAATTAAGCCTTCAATTGTTGAAGTTCATTAGTTGTTATTCTATATGATGCCTTGGAGACATGTGCATTCCAGGGAGTGTGTAGCAAACTCATGCTTCGTTTGGGATGACTTTCTTGCTGCTTCTTAAAACTTCTTAGTATGAAAGTATAAATTTTTATACTAGAAAGCTGCTTTAAGAAGCAGAAAAAAGTCGTCCCAAACGAATCCTCAATCTTTTGATCAGTTGATCTGAGGTAGACTCGGTAATTAATTTGGGAATTTAGATAGATATTCTTGAACTATAGAATGTCATTTTTTTAGGTGAATAATTGTTTGTGCTAGGTATGCACGACAACCATTAGAAAGTAGTTTTTTCAGCTTGAACAGTTGACTTAAGAAGAGACATTGGTCCAGTATCAACTGAAACTAGATTCCCTCGGTATACAAAATCTCACCAGCTTCTCGTTGCTATCAGTAGTTGCAATGTTGCATGATATAAAGATAACCAATCTATACCAAGTATTATGTCTAATTCAATTAGTGTTAATATAGCAAAAGTTGATTGTAGTTGTTCACCCTTAAATTGTGGGTAATGAATGAGTAATATGCATACCTAGACTAATAGGTAACATAATAGGTAATTTAGATTCTAATAAGAAAATGTTTTTGATATAAAAGAATGTGATGCTCTAGATTCAAATAATGCTTCAATTGGTTACCTTGAATCTAAAAGCGTAGCTATGTCAACATTTGATGCATCATGTGCCTCTTGTTAATTTATTGTTTAGATCCTTGCTTGCATAGGAAATTTCATATGTTGTTGTTATTGTAGTCTGGTCGGAGTGAGAGAATATAAAGTAGGAAATATTAGCACATAAAAGTATAAAACACACACTAATAATACAGAGAGAGAGAATACAAAGTAGAAAATATTAACACATTAAAAATGCACGGAATGCAATATATGTTCACCCAATTGATGGTCTCATCCTGTTGTCACCTCTGCAGATTTCACAATTATCTGATTGTGGAAATTTGTAGTTTTGATACAATATAAAGATGTATTTCCCTTTATAAAGAAAAATCTAAAGCAATCAAAATAAGATAAAATTTTTCAAAAGACCCTTAGTGAAATAACTCAAATTTGTAAGATGCCTTTCAAAGGCTTCCCTTTTCCCCATCCTGTACTTCAGGAAGGCAGCTCTCTGTTGCCTTTCCAACTTCTTCTGCAACTTTATCATAAGATCGACAAGTGATCAAATCCACATAGTGCGCTTCGTAGGACAAAAAATTAAGCTCAAGTAGTCCTTTTGTCTATCTCCATTAGAAGACCCAAATGTTTTTAAATCTTGGAAAGCCAACATCCTTTGACATGGTTGTGAAGGTTTTCTATGCCCACAGCAAGTATGCAAATGGTAAGCATCGGGTGATTATGATATGACGAGCCCCGGCCAAATGGAAAAGAGGAAAATGAAATACTTAACTGATTATGTTACATTGCTGATTTTATATCCTTGTTAATTTTTTGATGAGGTTCATTGATGCTATCTTGTTGAGTTCCTACACATATCTTTCTAGTTTAGGATTCTGATTTCTCCTTCTCCAGGTGGTTATGGTGTCGCAACCGGCGGCCCGCTTGCATGGGGGCTCTGTTATAACCATGAGATGAGCCCAAGCCAATCCTACTGCAGCCAAGACTACCTTTATCCCTGCACTCCTGGAGTTGATTATTTTGGTCGAGGTGCTCTACCTGTCTACTGGTAAGTTAGGAAAATATATCTGTTTTCTTTGAATGATTTAATTGTTCCAAGAAGAATTGTAGTTAACCCTTTTACCTGCACAAATTTAAGGAACTACAACTATGGTATCATTGGTGATGGGATGAAAGTTGATCTTCTAAACCACCCAGAGTACTTGGAACAGAATGCTACTCTGGCCTTCCAATCTGCCATGTGGAGGTGGATGAATCCAATGAAGAAGAAGCAACCATCAGCTCATGATGTCTTCGTCGGGAATTGGAAGCCGACGAAGAACGACACTCTGTCTAAAAGGCTACCTGGCTTTGGGGCTACCATGAATGTTCTTTATGGAGATCAGATCTGCGGCCAGGGATTTGTTGATTCCATGAACAACATCATATCCCACTTCCAATATTACCTTGATTTGATGGGCGTCGGTAGACAGAGCTCTGGAGACAATTTAGACTGCGCCGAACAGGAGCCCTTCAACCCATCTTACCATGCTGCTTCTACATAGAACCCTTTTATGCTTAAGAAAGTTCATTAATGTTTCGTTTGGGATGACTTTTTAACTGCTTCATAAAATATTTTTTTTAATATAAATTTTTAATTTTTATACTAAAAAGTTGCTTTACGAAGCAGTAAAAAAATTATCTCAAATAAAATCTAAGTTTATCCGGTTGTAGTGTTCTGTATGTTGTGAGCTGGGACGCATTTCAAATTGTTGGTCGATTATTGTTATTTGTTATAATTATTTTTGTTTCCACGATCATCAATCTGTAACTCGTTTTCCGTTTTTCTTTGTTAGGAAAAGTTGTATGCTTTGTGTTAATTGAATAAATTGAAATGTGAAGTTGGGTTATTCAGCTGTGAATCTTGTTCAAAAAGAGACTTAGCTCTCTTTCAAAATGCTTTCCATAAGTAATTTAGAACTGCTTGGTAGAGTTTCTTGAGATTGAAGGGCTTGAAATTCTGGAGACATGGTTGATTGCCAATGAGGATGTTTGGAGGTTGGATCTGGCGTGGCAATTTGGTGGGTGAGATTGAAGACTTGTTTAGGTTTGAGAGTGCCGGTTTGTGAGCGAGTGATCATAGGATGTGTGGGGATGTTGGGAGAGGTGGATCTAGCAGAGGATGGAACAATAGGATCGGAGGAGTCTTGTGAGTGAGTGTTCGACGAGTGAGGACTGGTAGTGTGGGTCGTGACAGAGAGGGAGGTGGACGATGAAGTATGAAAATTAGAATTGTGTTTGAGATTGGGTGTGAGGTTTGATGAGAGATGGGGGAACTAAGAGAAGCGGAGGTAGATGAGTATGAGAGGAAGACTGATTGACCGTTGTTTGTTGTTGATGGTAAGGAAGGACTTGTTCGTTAAAGACAACATGACGAGAGGTATAGGTCTTGTTAGATGAGGGATCTAGGCACATATAGCCTTTTTGGGAAGAGTTATAGCCGGCGAACAAACACGGCTTAGAGAATGAGTCAAGTTTGGAATGAGTATAGGGTCGGAGCCACGGGTAGCAGAGACATCCGAAGATCTTGAGGTGAGCGTAGGTGGGTGATTTAAGGTACAAATACTCATGTGGGGTTTTGTTTTGTATTTTTATAGTTGGGAGAAGATTGATAATATGGTTTGCGGTGTGAAGGGCATGAACCCGCAGATTGTGAGGAGCGCTGGAATGAATTAAAAGACTTCTAATGGTCTCCAAGATGTGACGATTCTTTCGTTCAGCCACGCCATTTTGAGATGGCGTATAAGTACACATGTATTGGTGACACATGCCGGAGATTTTACAAAAATGCTGAAAGTGTTGGTTAATGTATTCACCACCCCCATCAGTTCTAAGAATTTGTATATTTGTGCGGAATTGACATTTGATCATATTATAGTATTCCATGAATGTAGAAAAAACTTCGGATTTCTGAGAGAGCATAGACCCAACAGTATTTTGTATAATCGTTTATAAAGGAGACAAAGTAACGAAATCCTTGTACATTCATAGTAAAGGGTGGACCCCACACATCAGAATGAACAATTTGAAATGGTAAGGTAGAAGTAGAAATAGATATAGGGAATGGTAACCTATGACTTTTTGCAAGATTACAAGTATTGCAAAAGTTTGTAGTAATATTGAAACTGATAGTTGAGTGTAGTCGAGCAAGGCGTTGTAGTTTGCGGATGCCCGTGTGACCGATGCGGCCATGCTAGAGATCAGGAATCGTTTGAACAGAGAGCAATTGTAGCATCGAGGGCGTTGTGGTGGAAGAAATGAGATAGAGTCCATTATGACACGGGCCCTGAAGTAAAACCCGTTTGGTCTTCGAATCCTGAATTTGATAACTCCGTGATGAAAAGGAGATAATACAATAGTTATCATGCGTTAGTTGGAGGACAAATGGCAGGTTAAATGATAAGTTAGGAACGTGATAAAGATTGTTGAGTTGAAGACTACCGGGAGGCGTGGGGAGAAGACCTCTACCTGTGTGGTGTACATGTAATTGATGGCCATTACCTAAAGTGACTTGAGAGGTGCCGTTGTTTGGTTCAGTTGATGAGAAGTGAGAGGGATCTGAAGTAAGATGCGTGGAGGCTCCACTGTCTAGGAACTAGTCGGTTTGACGAAAGGGTTCAGTTGGGCTGAAGAAAGCTTGCTTAGGTGGAGTTTCTTGATAGGTGGGATCATTACGATACTCGCATTTGACAGCAGTGTGACCCTGCTTTGTGCATATTTGGCATATTGTGTTTCTATTAACCGATCTGTCATTGTGATTGGATGTGGTTGGTGTGCGCCTATTACGGTTGGATTGTCGACCACGAGTGAAAGGATTACGGCGACGTCCACAGCCGTGGGTAGCAGCAAGAGCTACCAAATTTTCAGAAAGGTGAAGGGATTGAAGTTCTTTGTGTGTTTCTTGGGCAAGATTCACTTTTTCGCTGCAAAGAAGTGTGTAAAGATCGTCAAGAGTGATTGGTTGAAGATTCGTTCGAATGGTTGTTTTAAAAGCCTTATAGTTCGCGGGTAGGCCGTTTAGCATATAGAGAATAACATCCTCAAGGTCGATAGTGCTTCCGACAGCAGAAATTGTGTCGACCTTGGATTTCACGGTAAGCAAATACTGTGACATGGATTGTCGTTTTTTGAAAGATGGTGAAGCTCATTCTTTAGTTAAATGAGACGAGACCGAGTGGATACTTGCAGGCGATGAGCTAGCGTAGCCCATATTTCAGCTCATTGAGTCAGGGACAGAATGTAAGGTAAGATGGATGGGGTAATAATGAAGAGCAAGGCAGCGACAAGATTCTGATCAAGAAAATTCCAGGCATCGGGGGAAGAATCAGAAGTATGAGTTTGTGGTGGGATTGTGTATGAGCCATCAAGAAATCCTTTAAAACCATTTGTAATGAAAATTTTCTTGACTTGCGATGGCCATTAAGGATAATTATCAGAGATGAGTGGGTTGTAGACAAGACTTTTGATATTGCTGAGGACGAACGTGAGTTGGGGCGGAATATTGATGGAAAGAAGATGATTGGGAAAGTTTGTGGCTGGCGAGGAAGTGGTAGATCCATCCATGCTAGATCAGAGGAACAAGAATATAATAGGGAGGAAGAGGGAGGTGAAGGAAGAAGAAGGAAAAAGGAAGAAGAAGAGAAAGAACACTTATTTGTGCTATGATACCATGTGGACACGCTCAGACAAGAGAACATAACCAGGCATTAGAACAGAAACAGTGGAAATGAAAATAGTATATTATCTAGTAGGGGTTAAATACAAGTGTATATAGAGACAATTAAAGTAAAGTAAGCCTACAGTACAATATAGTTAACTAGTTTCTATTTGACGTGGTCATATGGGTTAACCTTTGTTTCATTACATTGGTCTTTTAAATCAAAGTCTATCATTCAAACTGCTTTTACACTCAGAGAAGAAATTGGAGGAAGAGAAAGAATATGTACATATTTATATATAGTGTGTATCAAATCAAAATATGTTTTAAAAAATAATAAAAAAAAGTCGTCCCAAATGAAGCCCAAGTTTTTTTTTTCAAAGAAAGCCTAAGATATTGAACTTGTTGGGTGCTTTGGCTTTCCATATGGAGATCATTGAGTTTGAGGTTTGCAATGTGATAAATGCATAAATTTGTAATTAAATTCAAAGAAAATTGGTTAACTTTTTTATTAAAAATAGGAATTATATTTATTTTAAAATAAATTTAATATATTTTTACATAATGCTTTTTTTTTTTAGGGAATAGTACCTAGAGTGAAAACAATACCTAAAAGGAAAAAAAGGGTGAAAACATTTGAATTAAATGTATAATTTAAAAAGCAATCATGTTTAATTGTAATTAGTTAGCATATATTTTTGTTGCGGGCTAGAATATACGCGGCGATAGAATTAGAAAATTTTCGTCTTAGCGTTGTATGAATATCCAACACATAAATAGAAGATGAAAGAACACCAGGATTTTTACGTGAAAAATATTGGAATGGGAAAAACCATGAGGCCATGCCCAGTTGAAAGAATTCCGATAGTGTTTGCTTAGGTTACAAGAGGGTGACTCGTCCCTAAAATTTAGGACGATCATATTACAATAATTAATTCCCGAGTTTAAATTCAGTTGCGAACAAATATTGGAACGCTGGCGTCAGTTGGCGATCAAATAGAAAACTGGCGTTAGTTGGCGATCAAATAGAAAACTGGCGTCAATCGGTTGTCAAACAGAGTTATAGCATAACTTGGAGGTTGCAGGGAGGAACTCCTGCGTCACTTGGAGGTCGAACGAAACTCCGACGTCATTTGAAGGTCGGATGGAACTCTGACATCACTTGGAGTTCGGGTGGAACTTCGACGGTGGTTGAGGAGGAGTCTATTCCTTCTCTTCTTGCTTCCTTGCTTAATTCTGACGTCGGTCGTCTGTTAGGTGAAAGTCTGACGGTGGTTAAGGAGTAGCTCTTCCTTCTCTTCCTTTTCTTCTTTCTCTTATTCTTTCTCTTCTCTTCTTGCTTAGGCCCCCCTCTTAAGAGAAATGAGGGTCTATTTATAATTTTTTGATAGTGGCATGACCAATAAATAGAAGAACAACAGGGGTAAATTTAGAGTGGTTTGAATGGATAGCCAATGTTGAATCCCTTGACCGTGGACCGTTTATCAGGTATTTGAAGGCTCTAATGATATCAGAATTCAACGATCTTGGGCTCGTTGGATTCGTTTCATCGAGCCGATCGATTCGACTATAAGCACACCATATTTGGAAACTATTTGGTAATCCAAATTATAGTTTGAACCCTTCAAATGTGCTTCGGGTCATTGATTTGGACTCATTTGGGCTCGGATTGAGTCGAATTCAGTGTCGTTGGATTCATATTTCTGATACATTCAATTCTACTATAAGTTTGTTGAAATAGGAGTTCATATAGTCCCGTATTTAATTTTTGAAGCTTCCAACTTGATTTTTTACCTCGAGATTCTGCCCGATCAAGTTACTTTTTTGTTGATATATCAATTTTATATTTTTTTATTAAAAAATTCTTCAAAAGTTTATTTTAAAGCCTGAAGAGAATATTATTATTATTTTTTAAACTATAGAGAGAATATTCATATTAGAAATTCTTATTATTCAAAATTTTCCTAACAATAAACGTAGAATTAGTAAACTTCAAAGCATATTTTATTTATTCCGGCTTTAATTGAGATAATTTCTTCTCTATTTTCTAAAATAATTTTATAATAACTTTTTTTAAAACAAAAAATTATCCCAAACTAAACCGACATTTAAATGAGTAATAAAAACATGGGAAATTTACATATATACCACCCTATAATACTCTATTTACATATTTAACACCTAAAACTTTAATATTACATACATACCACCCTTAGTTTATCTTCATGTCAAATATGAGTGGTAGAAATGAAATATATGACTGCTAAGAATGAAATATGAGTGGCATATTTGATATTAAAATAATATAGAATGGTATATGTGTAATATTAAAGTTTTGAGTGTTAGATATGTAAATAGAATGATATAAAGTGGTATGTATGTAAATTTCCCTAAAAACATTGATAAATTGCTCAGCTAAAAAAGACCCCTCTTGCAAAATAGTGGGGGCAAATAATGCAGAAGGTTGTGCTCCACCAATGAATGAACCGAGAAAGTGGAAAGCATTAAACCACTTATTATTAATATTATATAGAACAAATGTGAATTTCTTCAGAAAAGCAAAATGCCCCCTTTAATTCGTACACTGCGTCACATCATCACGTTTATTAAGTGACATTACTTTCACGAGAAATTATTAGGTGCGGAGTGCGGACGGGAGAACCGTCCGCACACTAGTATAAAATCGCGCTCAGTACCATTCGGTATCACTCGGTACCACTAGGTACCGCTCGGTACCACTGGGTACCGCTCGGTACCCTGTGTCTGTGCAGACGGTTCTCACCCCGTCTGCACTCCGCACCTAATAATTTTTCTACTTTCACATATCGCTACAAGAAATTATCATTGTATTTGTCACTCCACTCACATTCATGTTGGTTGATTTGATTCGATGGCTATAAGAGATCATGCGGTCGTTATCCCAAGCCCACTCTGATTCATGTGGAAGAGGAGTCCCTTAAGCACTTTGTTTCTTTTTTTCTATTTAGAATTTGCATATATGATACATAAAATTATTCTATTCTATTTATGTAATAGATAAATGTTAATATTTAAGTAATTTAACAAATCTTATTTTTTCATTCTCATTATTAATTTATTCTTTATGGTACTCTTTATTATCATGACATTCTGAGACTTCTTCCATAAAGAGTGTGACATTCTGAGGCTTCTTCCACAAAGGGTGTTTTAAGTATGTCACTGATGGTCTCCTTTAGGAGTGTAAACGAGTCGAGTCGAGTCTAGTTTTAGTATTATGGAGCTCAACTTGTTTGGAACTCGAGCTCTTCCCACTATAAACGAGCTCGAGTCGGCTCGCAAGCTTGTGACGTCCCGCTAGCGAAACTTCCAGCATAATTTTATGCCCGCAGAATTTCCCGCCTGCGAAAATTTCCTACCCGCGAAACTTCTACTCGCAAAACTCTTGCCAATGAAACTTCTGCCCGCGGAAATTACCTCCTGCGATTTCCTTCCCATGATTTTCTTTCACGAACCGCTCGACGAGCTCGCTAGTCGAGCGATGTGTTGTTTGAACTCAAGCTCGATAAACCGTGGAGCTCGAAATGCTCAACTCGTGAGCTTGATATGCTCAACTCGTCGAGCCTGTTAACAAGTCGAACCCAAGCCAGCTCGCGAGTTGGCATGACTTGGTTACACCCCTAATCCCATCAATGGTTTCCTTTATAAAATCTCATTGAAAATTTCCTACCCGCGAAACTTCTGCTCGCAAAACTCTTGCCAACGAAACTTCTGCCCGCGAAAATTACCGCCTGCGATTTCCTTCCCATGATTTTCTTTCACGAACCGCTCGACGAGCTCGCTAGTCGAGCGATGTGTTGTTTGAACTCAAGCTCGATAAGCCGTCGAGCTCGAAATGCTCAACTCGCGAGCTCGATATGCTCGACTTGTAGTGCCTGTTAACGAGTCGAATCCAAACCAGCTCGCGAGTTGGCATGACTCGATTACACCCCTAATCCCATCAATGATTTCCTTATGAAATCTCATTGAAAATTTCGCTCTCCTTCGATGATAAATATGATAGTTCTCATAAATTCTTTTTAAAACTGTATAAGATAAATATTTTTCTTCTTAAAAGATGATTACTAGAATTCTAATCCAACTTATTCAAAACAAAGAGAAAATATTCACTAAAAAAATAAAGAAAGCAAAGAATTTTATTTATCTTTACTTGTTAGTTGTTATGCATCAAATGAATTAATGACTACTTTTTTTTCCTTGAAAACACATATATTACCACTATTAATTCCAAGCATTTCTTATCATCGTTGCACTGCCTTTATTCTGAATCAGATGTCTTTATCCCACCAAAATAAAATCAAAATAATCCAAAATAAAATATGTTTTCTTACCCAAAAAGAAAAGAAAAATCTTAATGTAGTGGTGGGATATTACTGTTGACAATCCCGAAACAAGCACCATCTTGTAGTAATTGCCAGTGAGGGAATTTAGTGAGATAGGAATTGCTAAAGATTGAGCAGTTGCTGGTTTATGCTAAAGATAGCATTGTTGTCTGGAGCCTGGATAACGGATCAAACTTAGGTCTGTCAATATTCGACACGACCCGGAAATGACACGGGAAAATTCATGTTCAAATTGACCCGGGTAGCAAACGGGTCATGTTCGTGTTAGAGAAACTGACATGATTTGAATTTCGGGTCGTATTCGGGTCAACCCGGAAACAAGAAGATGATCCGATTTCAACACGTAAATTTTGGCTCGGCCGCTCGAGTTCACCGCTTCGCCTAATCGCCTGAATAAACGGAACCGCGTAGTTAGGTTAGTCACTGGTTGGCCTTGTTGCCTTGCTGGGTAATGGGTGTTGTTCAGTCACTGGTTGAGTGGTTGGTCGTTGCTGTTGTAGTGTTGCTGGCCGCTTATAATATGATTTTTATGTTTATTGCCAAAAAAAAAAAAAAGAAACTGACCCGATTACTTTTTAGCATTTAGTGTTTATTGTTTAACCATTTTGATTTTGCTGTTAATTCAAGTTGAAACCAAGTTCAAGAATCAAGATGAAGTGTTGGCACTTGGCGTGTAGCCGGTATAAGAATAAAGAAATATAATTTGAGTTTGTTTGTAAATTATTTAGTTTGTACTTTGTATATTTTAATTTGTAATAAATGTTAAATGTAAATTGCAAAATTATATTTTTATAGTTATCTTTAATTACTGTTTGACTGTTTTTCTCTGATTTTAACAAAATTTTAAAATTTTCATGGATTTAACATTTTTAGTGTCGGTTCGTGTTGACCCGAACTTGATCTAGATCGAGTTCGGGTTCAGAGAATTGACCCGAAACCTATTTCGGGTCGGGTCAGATATAGCCGGATCAAATTCGGGTCTGACCCGAACACGACCCGCCGACACAAATTGACCGCCATAATCAAAATAGGCTTAAATCTAATCAAAGAGGAAATAAAAAAATAGGATTCACGAAGCAAAGTTGTAAGCATCACAAACTGTAGCTAGAAACAACCAGATCCGAGCAGCCAAAAAGAATTTGGGCAATGGATATCCAATTAGTGAATCAAATACCCTAATAACCACTCATTCACCAAATTCCTCACCTCACGAGGCCAAATAATGCTTGAATTTTCATATAAGGAGTTTGAAGACAACCATTACTTTAATTTTTGCTGCAATGCCAACCAAAGTTTGCAACTATTGAAGATTGTCATTTCTTTCACAACAAATGTAGTAGTAGACCGTAATAGATGTCTGAAGGTAGAATAATCTATTAGAAGTATTGTGATTTAAAGAAATAGATGCTTGGAGGATTTGCTGCAAATTTGGTTCAAAAAGAAAAGAGATATCATAATGTAAAAGATTTCTAACCAGCCAAGTTGAGAATTTAGATCAAATGGGATTACCTTTTTAACCGACTGTCAATTCATACTTGAATAAGTTTCTTTCTCTAGTTCCATAAATTTTCTCATAACCTTTGTGTGTGCTGATAATTAAGCCTCCAGTAGGAACCAGCTTTGAGATATTAATATCTCTAATTAAACCTATAAAGGTTGAATATTGGACTACTCTTGGAGATTTCAACTTATTTAAGCCTTCTTAGTATAGCTTATTTATTGTAAGATTTCTTGTTACTGCAATTTTTTTTTTTTTAATGTTTTGGTAAAGACCTGCATAGAGTGTTTGGAAATTTCTCCATAAGCTGATTTTGGTATTAAGAGGCATAAAGCTTAACTAAGAAGTTATTCATTTTGCAGTTTTGGGTAGGCTCAACGTAATTATTTTGTTTAGCTCTTTTTTTTATCAACAATATACTCTTTCTTTTTTATACACATTTGATTGACAGCTCTTGCCATTTCAAACAAACAAAAAATCAGAAACAAAATGATGTCAAACCCAATTTGATCAAACTATTTTGACCTAATTTTAATTATCAAATTTACTTTAAGATAAGTCACGACTAATCAATAAAAACTCATATTATATAAACAATGAGGTGAAGCGGAGAAAAAAATATACATAACATGCTATAGAAATGAATGTGAACAGAAAAATTGCAAAAAGAATGGACCAGAGAATTTATACTGATTATATTCCCTTATATAAATATACACCATTCTTTTGCTCTCACATTGATATATAGTAAGACCAAACCACACAAAGAGCAAGAGAACTGACCGGGTAACTCAAATTTGCAAGATACCATGGCAGAGGAGAGCTCAAGAGATTCGGCCATATATCTGCTATGACCCACTGGATTACCATGGGTCTGGCTGCAGCAATGAGCACATGGAGGAACGGAGACAGGCTCAAAAGCCAAAATAGTTATGTTTGTTTCAGCAAAGAACTTGGATCATAAATAGCAAAAACAATACACCAAAGAACAGGGAGATTTCCCAAAATCAAACGAGACACTTCCAGAGAATTGTAGCCAGGCGGCCCAGGCCTCCCAAAGTAAAAATCCAGTTGTTTTAGAATGGCTCTTGCCTTTCTGTAGATGCAACCTGAGTCAGCCAAAAACTGGAGATAATGAACATAATCTATTATGCATATTCTGCAGCAATCTTCTCTTGGAGGCTATCTTGGACCAAAATCCAGATTCTCCCACTTAAAGGGCGCAATGGAACCTACAAAAGGAGCACCTCGGAAGAACAAGCAGACACATACACAAACCGCTGCGATTGCCAGTAAGGAGTGGACATATGGACGCTCGAGAAGACCTCTATGACGGTTTATTCTCACAAGGCGAGACTCTGCAATAACACAGTGGGGACATGAACTTATCGCCATTGCTTCTACGCCACAAGAATTACTGTGCTTCACTGCTGATTTTGCCTCAACACACATATTGTCCATGGATTTATCTTCATGTCGGATAATGATTGATATCTGACTATTATTCTTATCTGCAAGTTTCCTTGCTACAAGCATGTTGTAAGAGTTGTTTCTTGCTGATGCGTACATGGAGGGTGAGTGGCCACTGTCATCCATCACCGAAACCCAGCAGTTCAAACCAATCTAAAGCAGAATCAGATGAGAAATGGATTATTAAAAGATTATAATAACTCATCCACAGGGAAAAACAGAAATGCAGATCATGAAGGTTGAAAAAGTTTTATTTAAACTAAATTTACCTCTTGTGGATCACTTGTTAGTGCATCAACCATGTCCTCAGCATCCTGCATTGAAGCAGCTAGATGCAATGGAGTCAATCCACCAGGGCCTGTAGAATTAGGAGGGAACAGATGCATTCTCGAATCTTTTGTTATTGCATTCTTTACAGAGTAGTTGAGAAGCAACTCAACCATTTTCCGGCATTTCTTCTTCACTGCTCGGCTCAGTAGCTGGAGTTCAAGTAGCAGTTCCAGTGACTCATTCAACACAGAATCATCACTGCCATAGCTTCTTTCCACTAGTATGTCTAGAAACATTTTAACAAGAGCAGACAAATCCCTCTCTACTGAAAATGAAAAGAGATAATTGAACCGAGAAGTAGCAAAATCTACAAAGGAAAATTCAGGATGGTTCTTTCTTTGAAACAACCAACCAAGTTCATTCAAAAAGTGAAGGGTATCCTCCCTAGATTGCACCCTTCTATTCTCTAGACAAACGTCTTGAGAAATGGCATCAAGGGTTCCCACATCTTCATCGAACTCAACTTCAAGTGATCTGAGTTCCTCACAAATAGTAGCATCAGCAATTATAATAGGAAAGCTATTCCCTCTGAAACCATTATCAACCTGCAAAAAAGCTCGCTGTTAGCCAAAATGTGGACATACAATTCACCAGATACCTAGACATGATTGTGACATTTTCCACCCCTCGTTGATTTCTCAACCATTGTTCAATCGTCTTCTTGTGTTGTCAGCAAAAGTTCCTGATGTGAAAAAACATGGAAAAGGGTAAACTCACCTCAACGAAATAGCGTCCATATGAAGAAGGGGATTCTTTAGGAAGAATGAAACTCTCTGAACTAGAATCATCATATATTGTGCCTGGATGTGTTGAACCTAGTACTTCTTTTGATGAATACCCACCCTTATAAGTACAATGAATTCTGTACATACAAGTATAATGTTTCAAACGAGAGGAACCATTATTGCACACTATTAAAATGAAGAAAAGTTATGGACTCACTTGGTACCAGGAATAGTCAAATTGCGGCCTCTAAGAATGAGTGTAGTTTCTTGCCCACTCAAAACAGCGATGGGAGAGATGGATGTTAGTTCAGGAGCAGTCAAAGATCTCCAAGACTTGCAGAGGCGTATTTTCCCTGAAAGCAATGAGCAAAACCTTGAGATTTCAGATCCAAAATATAATGCTGTGAGACAAAAGACTATAACCTTTTACAATAACAATTATTGAAGTCAAATAAGAATAAAAGCATACCATCCTTGTGTGAAACAATTTGTCTGCTCGTGCTGACCAAAAACCTCAAATTTCTCCAGAATTCTGAGCCAGAGCAATTAACTAGTGAAATAACTCGTTGAAGAAAGTCCTCTTCAAGCTGCAAAATAAGCATTTCCCATGATTAATGCTAGAACAAAGAAACAGTAAAAAGTTTTAGATATGCAAGCATACCTCATGCCATGCAGCCGATGTCATGCATAAATAAACAGATAAAACCACACATCCAGGCCTGATGTAGCTTTCAATTTCAGTTGGACTACGAGACAACCAATTTAAAATCTGAAATAAAACATTTATCATAAATTAATACTTGAAACTAACATACTAAGCAGTTTATTAACTCAACAAATATTTTGGCATACTTCAGATCGAAGCGTTCCAGGTAAATCGCTGGGATCTTTGTCAAACAGCTTGAAAATAATTCTGCCGGTTCGGTCCTGTAAGTAGCATTTCAAATATGCTATCCAATGTCTCATCACTATAAAGAAAACTATTAAGTTTTTTTTTATATATTTTTTAATATATTACATCCTATAATACCTGAACAGCACAATTTGAACTTGAAGGAGATTGGTCTGAGCCTGAGGATGATGAATACCCTCCTCCAGAGTATGGCATGTTCTGAACTGTTTGATTGTCAAGTTGCCTGTCAAGATCCTTAAACAGTTCTAAGGGCGGCATCCATCCACATGTTGTGCTCGCTTCAGCTACTGCGTGGTCTTCCCTGCATATTGACATACTTTCATCTTTTTTATCAGACACTGATCGCAGAGGAAATAGCCTCTTTGCAATTGGAGGCGAACATGAAGGGGATCTATCTTCTATTGGATTACTGCTCTCAGAGGATGGATATTTAATTGCAGACCCAAGTTTTGGAGGACTATCATCTTCGGCGGATCCAAATAGCTGCAATGGCAAACTTGGCATTGCAATTTGTATAGAGCGTTCGGTAGAATTTAATTGGGAATGCACATTAAAGTCGGTTTCTCGATCTATAGATGGACGAAACACATGATCAACTTTGATTTGTGGATTATTACTGTCTATGGCTTCTTGGCGTAATCCCGTGCTCTTGTTACTGCCATTACCACCACTGCTCTCCTGTGACATGCTAGCCAGAACATTGGGATTTGAGGATGCCAGTGCTGCTGAGAGAACCCCAAGCAAGTTCATTGTTGATGGAATGTTTGGGTTACCTCTCCCTTGAGATGGTTGTTCTGAAGAACTTTGCACTGGAGCTTGTGAGACATTAAGATCAAAACCTCTTTGCACCGGTGTTTTTGAAGAGGGATTTGTAGGAGGCAAAGAACCAATCTTATTTATAATTTGTATAAGTTGGTCTCCATCAGGTAGAGGTGACATGCTTGTTGGTTTGCCTGCAATATTACATGGTAAAACACTGCCAAATGGTCAGAAAGGATTCTTAGATTTTAACCAAAAAAAACGAGTTCATAACGTCAAGCAGCTTACCTTGCAAGCGTGCCAGAATGGCCAACAAATTAACAATATCTACACTCCCACTAGCTTTTCCATCTTGGATTCCAGGAACTAAATTGGTTGTTGATGCATCCTCGGGTTGGGTCTTTCTCCTACGACGATTATGTCCAGCAAGCCTGCGGCGGCAGCTCCTTTTTCCCTCATCAAACTCCGTAAGGGGATGGAATCTAAATAATAATAGCTAAAACAAAGTTTAATCTTTTCTAAAAAAATTCAAATTGACAACTTAAGTAAAATGATGCTGCTACAAATTCCAGACTCCAGAGTCAGACAAGACAATGAACCGATAAAATAAGTAAATGTGTAAACTTGAAAACAAAGATAAGAAAATTTGAACATATTTTTATAATAAAAATTCAATAAACTAGACCAGCCTGATTTGTTTCACAAAGTCAAGTTAATCTCTAGAATTAAAACTGCAAAAAATTCATAGAATGATTCAAGACAAAAATCACCACAAATCATACACTCAAATATGTGGTTTGATTATAGATTCATAACACATCCCTATTCTGAAACTAAGCTTATCAAAAAGAAAAAAAGTTTTCTAAATAAAAATAGAATGAACTGTGTTCTACTGGCAAGCTATTGCTGGGTGTATGAATTCATCAACTTATCAGAAAATACACATCATGGTTACAAATAAGTTACCGGCTGCACTGCTGGCAGAATCTCTGCATTTGCTTGCCAACAAGGGCCTTAGCGGTCTTGCTGTGAAGCTCACAAACTTTGTGCCGCCTGTGATAATCCTTAGCATTCGACAGATCTGCTTTGCAATCATCAACCTGACACATAGGATAACTAGCAGCACTTCCAGGTGATCCAGATCGAACTCTTTTGTTTGCCCTCTGAACCTGCTCTTCCACTCTACATCCTCCACCACCAAGCTTCAAAGCTAGATTCTCACATTCCTCAACCGTATCACGCAAAAGTAGAGCCTTTCCACTCTCCCCCGCATTTTTTCTCTGTTCCACACAACTACCGTTATTTACAACTGCAGCAACCCCCTGGGTTCCCAGACACGACACTTCCGGCACATCCTCAGAGGGTTTTGAGGAGAATCTCACACTGTCCCATTCCCACATCTTAGGGTTCCAGCTATTTGAATTGCTAGGCGCAGGAAGTCCCGACCCCATGAGCCAGTGTTGACTCTCTTGCTTCTGATGAACATGGTGGAAGCCAGTATTCCCCCATGGTAAATCCCGCTTTCTTGCCATCGACGATGCGTTAGAGAACCGACCAGGGAGAGCTTGGTTGTGAAGAAAAATAGGAGGCGCGACTCCCGCGTCCACCTCTCCCTCCATCATCTACCCCAAATCGTCCCCCTCACCCAAAGATTTCCGTTAAGTCGCAAACTTTAACCTAAAGAAGCTCTCCACTAGTGACAGCCAACAAATCGAGAGGGAATTTAGTCCCGCCCGCACAAATCACGCAGCCCTAACCGTTCCTCAGTAAGATGACATTCGCAAGTGCGGAAAAAGGAATCCATTAACGGAAACCCATAAGGCCATAAAGCAGCATCACATAAGAAACCCCTTACATGGATCAAAGAAGTACACCGGGAGAAAGTGTAAAAACAACCGTCGCGATTCCGCCGCAGGCGAACCGAATGGATCTGAGAGGAAGAGAGAAAGGTCGGAGCTGTCCTGAGAAGAAGCCGATGTCGGCTTGGCAGAGAGTGCAAAATCCAAAAAAGAGACAAGGTAGAAGTTCCTCTTCCTCGCTTCCTTCAAACCTTTTACGGTTGGTTACTTGGTTCTCTCTCCTATTCTTCGGCCCACGCCGTGGCATGTGCCGTAAATAAGGAAGCAGAAGAGGTTAGTTGGAAAGGCACTCTGTCGCCGCACCACGCATTAGCTACACTAACGAGTAACGAGGGCGTCGAAATGGCCGGGAAGAATCCCTCTATGGTCGCGTTTCCGCCACCTTCAATTATTTTAGCTCCGTATTACCGTACAAATGAAGTTATTGGATTCCGCATTTCATGTACTGTTGTGGAAATAACTTGAATTGGTGAGAACGGCAGCACTACTGTTGAGAAGATCAAGAGGTAAAACCCTAGCCGTCACGCTCTGCTTCTTCTGTTCGATTCTCTTCTCCCCACTTCCTCCGGCGATGCCGGAGGGAACCTCTTCCTCTCTTCCTCAGATGGATGAAGCTCCTTTCTCTTCCGAGTTTCCTCCGCTTGTGAAATCTCCTGGTGGTAAGGTCAAGGCCATCTCAAACTGCTGGAATAGAGTGTTTGAATTCACAAACACATCTCCTAATCCCCTAAAATTTTCTCACTTCCCCTCGGAACCGGAAATTATCCCCTTTTCTGGTGAAAAACTCTCTTCTGGGGGTGAAGATTGGAAATTATGCTTGGTGGGATATTCTGTTGGGAGGCGTCCATATTATGAAGCTCTACTGGCTGCGGTCAAAAAAACATGGAGTTTAAAAGGTTCGATTCAACTTCTATCGCTTAACGACGGTTTTTTTCTATTTCGTTTCACTTGTGCTGAGGATTTCGAAATGGTCTGGACACGAGGAGTTTGGTTCATTTTGGGGAAACCATTTGTTCTACAAAAGTGGCATCCGAAATTTGTGCCTACTAGGGAAGACTTTGCTACGGTACCTATCTGGGTGAAAATTCATGATCTCCCACTTGCATGCTGGAACTCAGAGGGTATATCGAGGATTGCTAGTAAAATTGGTGTTCCAGTGGCTGCAGATAGCTTAACGGAACAAAAAACAAGACTTACATATGCCAGAATCTGTGTTTTGGTAGATTGCAAAGCTACTTATCCGGAGGAGATTAAAGTCTCGTTGGACGGTGAAGTGGTAAGGCTGAGAGTTCAATATGAATGGCGCCCTTCTCCTTGTCAGCACTGTAAGTCTTTAATGCATTTCTCTTCTGCTTGCTTGAAAAATCCGGAGAAAAACACAAATGAGAATGATACGGATAAGGGTAAAACTGTGCAAAATAACAGGGGGAGGAGCTCTAGCAGGAAGCCTCCTCGCTTGCCTATCCCCAAACCGGTTGTGGCTGATAATGTGCAGGTTCCTAACTGCAGCAGTCTAGATAATCTTAATCCTCTGCCTTCTAATATCCAACAAGTCATTCCATCGATTATTACAGGGCAACCTCTTCTATACCAGCCACATTCTCCCACTTCCAACAAATTAAATACCATTCCTGGAGACACGGATTCGACGCTACCATCTTTGATATCACCTCCTGTGGTTGGGGATCAATTTTATCTGGGAATCCCAAACCTCAATTCTCCAAATGCAGCAACATCTTCTTCTTCTACAAATCTTCAAATCAATTCTTCTTCGACTGGGCAAGTTTTTACTTCACCTAATAAATTTGATCTTTTAAATTCAGAAGGTGATTTGAAGGATCAATCCAATTTTTCTAAAGAAGACTTAGAGAGTGACACGTTGGTTCTAGATAATTTGGGGAAGGAGAAGATCCTGGTAAACCTGTCCAAGAAGAACCAAAAGCAAGAAACTTCCACAGCTAAAAAACCTGCTAGAGGCAAGCAGGGGAAAAAGCCTCAAACCAAACAGAATTCCTGATGTCTATTCCACCGTTAGCTGCGTGGAATATTAGGGGATTTAATCGCCCTGATAAAGTTTTATGCTTTAAGCGTCTCATTCAATCTTTTAAGCTGGATTTAGTTTGCATCCTGGAAAACAGGATTAACATTCACTCTCTGGCAGATCCTTTTTTTGAGAATTCTCATTCTCTTTTTTCTAATGAAGCAAGCTGCAACAATTTTGATCTCACAGATTCTGGGAGGATTTGGGTGAAATGGAACTCTTCTAAACTCTCTTTCTCCCCTTCTGTCACTACTTCTCAATTGATTTCTGGCTTGATCTATGTTTCTAATCAATCCATGTTTCAGCTCTCTGTCGTTTATGCTTCTAATAGCATAAATGAGCGTAAATCGCTGTGGAATTCTCTCACTCTTGCTGCTCCAGAAAGTCATATTCCTTGGATCATTATTGGTGATTTTAATTGTTGTAGATTTGCTACAGATAAGATTGGTGGATCCCCTCTTTCTCTTTCAGCTCTAAGAGACTTCAATGACTGTATCTTTCATAATGGTTTGGTTGATCTTCGTTCTGTTGGCAACAACTACACCTGGTATAATCAAAGACTTGATAATCCTATCCATATTAAACTGGATAGAGTGCTTGTTAATGAAGGATGGCTGGATAAATTCCCTGAGTCTTTCTGTTCTATCCAGAACCCTTCCTGTTCTGACCACTGTCCTATTGTCCTGCATTCGGGTAGCAATTTCAAGGCCTCTCATCGTTTTCTTTTTAAAAACTACTGGACAAAGGTAGACAAGTATTGGGATTTATTATTAGAGGTTTGTTTCAAACCTTGTGCTGGCAACCCTCTCACACATTTCTGTCAATCCCTCAAGCTCTTAAAAAGTAATATCAAAAAAGAATCTTGGGCTACTTCTAATAGTGTATCCAGACATCTTGAATCTTTGAACAATTATCAGAAGCTTTTACTGGAAAAAATGTCGTATGATCATTATAACCCGGAGCTTAACATTGCTTTTAAAAATTGCAACTCCATGCTGGCTAGATTCAACAATATGTATGCTTCTTGGATTATTCAGAGGGCTAAGGTTAAATGGCTCAAACAAGGTGAAGATGACATTAAATTTCTATACGGCAAGATTAGGAGCAGAATGGGAAGTAGAAAGTCTATTATTAACCTTTTCTCTGTAAATTCTCCCAGCAGAGAAAGTGTGATTAACTCTATCATTCATTACTTTCAAGGTTTATATAATCCTCCATTTGCTATTCATCCGAACTCTTTGGTTATATCTTCTGGAGCTGTCATTCCAAATTATTATCTACCATCTCTAACCTCCCCTGTGACTGATGAGGAAATTCAAAATGTTGTTTTTAAGGGGTCTTCAAAATCTGCTCCAGGGCCGGATGGCTTTAACTTTCACTTCTACAAATCAAGTTGGCACATTATTGGTCCTTTAGTCTGTAAAGCAGTTAAATCTTTTTTCACTAAATGCTATATGCCTCGTGGAGTGAAATCTACTGTGCTTGCCTTAATTCCTAAACACATTAATGCTGCTAGCATTTCAGACTACCGACCAATTGCTCTTTGTAATGTGATTTACAAAATTATTGCTAAAGTGATAGCTATGAGGTTAAAGCCGGTTATGAACATCATTGTCAAAGACACTCAAGCGGGATTTCTGAAATCCAGAGTCTCTACTGATAATATCTTGTTGGCTTCTGATATATTGTTTCATGCTGGAAAAAAAGGAAAAACTAAGATTTTTTGTGCCAAGCTTGATATTAAGAAAGCTTTTGACTCAGTGTCTAGGGAATTCCTTATTGCAAGACTTCTTCAAAAAGGTTTTCCTAGTTGTTTGGTTAACTGGATAAAAGCTTGCATATTTGATGTCAATTTCTCGGTTCTCATTAATGGGGCTATTGAGGGCTTCTTCTCCTCTTCTGCCGGGCTTAGACAGGGGTGTCCTATGAGCCCTTTTCTTTTCTGTCTTGTTATGGATGCATTCTCCAATTTATTAGAGGAGAGAGGTTTCAAGGGGATTACAATAAATGATTACACCATCACTCATCTGCTTTATGCAGATGATGTTATCATCTTTGGTGAAGCTTCCATTGAAAACTGCAATCTGTTGGCTTCTATCCTTAAAGATTTTGCTACAGTCTCTGGGCTTCAAGTAAATTATGAAAAAAGTGCATTGATGTTTCCCAAATATGTTCACAATCAATCTGTCATTTGTAATGCCTTATCCATTCAAAACACTTCTACCAAGATTACATATTTGGGTATTCCATTGTCTTTCTATAGACTTAAAATGGAGGATTATATGCCTTTAGTTGATAGTATAAATAAAAAACTTTCTGGCTGGAAAGCTAACATTTTATCATTGGCTGGAAGATTGCAATATCTGAAATTTACTATACAAAATACGATTGCATACTGGATTAGAGGTGCAATTATACCCAAAGCTGTGCACAAACTTTTTAAAAAATCTAGTTCTAGATTTTTATTCTTTGGGGATGTTAATGCTAGCAAGAAATTACATATGGTGGCTTGGGATAAAGTTTGTAAGCCTTTTTCTAAAGGTGGTTTGGGTTTATATTCTATACCAGCTTTACAATTCTCTTTCAATTGCTCGGTGATTTTAAGAATGTACAACTCTACTTCTCCATTTTCCTCTTGGCTGTTAAGGAAATACTGCTCCCCCTGGAAACCTTTTACAGCTGCTAGCTCCAGATTTTGGAAATCTATCTGTTACACGGCTATTAGTGCTAAACATGCTTTTAAATTCAGAATTTATAACTCTTCCCCTATATCGTTGAAATGGGATCACTGGGCTGGTGGCAGCAATCTTACTGATCTTCTTGGTAGTGCTGCTATGGATCATATTCCGGATATTATGCTTTCTAATATCATTCATAATAATGATTGGAAATTTCCTGAAACTTTCACTCCCAGTCTTATAGACGTCATCTCGGGTACTCCTCTTTTGGGGGGAGAGGGGCATTGTCTGATTTGGTATGATAAAGAAAAAACCTATTTTAAAGATTTTATTGAGGAATTCTACTCTGATTCCGCTGATTGCAGCTGGTATAAGATGGTTTGGCACAAGAGAAATGCTCTTAAATTCTCAGTTTTTGCATGGCTTGCTAATGTGGGAGGTCTCAAGACAGCTGATGCACTTAGAATTAGGAATATTGCTGTTCCAATTCAGTGCATTCTTTGTTATAATGGTGATGAATCTGTCTCACATATATTTTTTGAATGCCCT